GACAAGAGATATTCCAGAGCTAGAACAATGTCTGGTGAATTAAAGGTTATGAATACCAGAATATGATATCTGATAGTAACTAGGAGAGGAGTTTCAGAATCTATAGTAGGGCCTTTGTTAAGTCCATTTGTAACATCATGAACACGAATTTAAATTATGATAGTTGTATATTTGCATTACAATATAAGATTTAGTGGGGAATTTAATTCTACTATAGACTGTTAGAAGCCTACGATATGTTCTTGATGGAATTGAAAGCATTCTGTCTTTTTTTAGCCTACAGCAAAATTCATTGTTCAATGGGAATGTGTGATAGTTGGGGTTTTAATTGGCAGTAAGGTATTACAGAGATGAGATGAAAATTCTCTAGGTAAAATGTCTTTACTGAAGACTGATTTTTAAAAATAGCAACCACTGACTTATAGTTTGCAGTCAAAAATATTTCACTGAGAGAATGTTGCCTTCTCTCAAATTCATATATGTGTGTGTGCATGTGGATAAAAATAGTAGGAGTTTATTTTAGATAAGAAAAACAGTTCTCTGATTTGATGATGTTTATGAACTGAAGCCAACAGCTTTCATCCTGAGGTTAAGACATATTTTTTATAATGGAATTATCACATTTATGTCCTCCATATCTATCAGTCCTCCCTGTTGGTATATGCAGAGATACAACTGAATGATTTGACTGTTCCAAGGGGCATTTTTACATGTAATCAGACTATGATGGGTACATAGGCGTTGATAATAATCTGGAACTTCATTTTTTGCAGCAAATTGGCATACATCTAATTGGAGTTTATGCTGTTCTTTTTCTTTAAGCCTTGTGAGCAGGGACGTCAGCTGAAGAGAATTCACTGGGTTGCCAACATTGGCACAGCTCTTAAGTTTCTAGAAGGAAGACGGGTAGGTATGGTAGCATTTAGTCCTGGTTTTCCTTTTTGCCTTTGTTTCCTTAAGGGTATGATTTGTATCCACCCATCTGTTTTTAGTCTCCAGATTTTGAGCTCTGTATGCAGTCTCCAGTTTCTACACAGTGCCTAAAAGTAAAAATTATAAAATCCAACACTAATATGTAGCAATGTATAGGATGAAACTTGTCTTTTTCTTTTTTTTAAAAAAATAATGAATCACCTTGGATGATCTTTTTTTTTCTAATGTGCTCTTCAGCTTCTCATGTTCTCTACTTTCCTGTTGCTATTCTCAGCAAAGAATGATCTTTAGTTCAGGAGAGACATATATTCATAGTTAAAAGAATAGATTTCTGGACTTCACTAGGTTTTACATGCAAAAACCTATTCCCTGAAAGTACAGATATGAAAATTTGGGACAGTGTGACCCCTTATTGGCAGGACTTCAGAATAATTCCTGGATTTATTGTGGTACAGTCAGTGCTGTGGCCATTTTAGAAAAGAAGCAAAATATTTTGTAAATTTAACAAAAGACAGAAAAACAAAAATCTCAGTGTGTTCTAAGTATGAATATCGAATAAAAGCAATCAACTTCTCCCTTTTCTTCCTGACTTTTCTCTCTATTGTAATGACTTGCATCTTGATTTTTAAATTGGATTATAGACATTTTGTTCTTCTAATTTCTGCATTTTACTTGAATTTTTCTCAGTGCAAATGTCAGACCTGATGTCTCCACAATGCTGTACACTGGGAGGTTTTGGGGTTTAGCATTCTTTCCCTCTCTTTATCTCTATGACACCTTGAGCTAGTTACATTTATGTTACACAGGAAACAATCTTAGCAGGCACCTGTAGAAAGAAATCTAAAAGAGAACCAAAGCAAAGACAAATATATTCCTGAACCAAAATTCAGATGTAGCTTAAAATTTCACTGTTTTAGGAAGTATCATTTGTTAATAGAAACCATATTATATGCAGCCTGAGAACAGAGGCTATTTTCTGGTGAGACCTGTATAACCTAAAGCAAGGCTGGGGTGAAGAGCAAAACACCCATACTTCCCTAGTTAACAAATCACAATATAGTGGATAACTCGAACTTTGAAAGACCCAACTTAGATCCCAGAAACAATCCATCATTGCAGCTAGAAAGCTGACCCTGTCAAAGTTCAAGGTAGATTGCCAGAAATGGAGATACGTGCTTTTGCTTTCGATATCACAGAATTTTTGTCCAGAATTGTCTTAGTTACTTTTGACTGTACATTGTATTAATATGCCAGATTCTCTTCAAGAGGGAGCTGGAAACAGGCAGGGTGTCAGGTAGGTTGGTGTGCATTAGCAAGTGGTCCCTAGGTTGAATCCAGCCTAAAGGATGCATCCATTCAGCCTGTCACCCTTTTCCTCCCAGAGGAGATGGGGATGCTGTTCAGACAACAAATGCCTTTTCAGCGGTTGAATGTAGTCCCTGGTCTGTACTCAAAGGTGAACAAATGCAGATGAATGGCTGAGCACAGAGCTTTGGGGAGTGCCAACAGGGTCTCCTTCTTCTGTGGGCTCTCCCACAAATTAATTTTGCTGCACATTTAATCAACTTCCTGTTTTCACTGTCCAAACCAACCTCTGCTAATACCCCTGTTATACTACAAACTGCAGCTCACAATTAATAGATATTATTCTGTCCAAACTGGTTTTTTCGTGGTTCTGAAAAATTTATTTTTAGTTACAAGAAAGATAATACAATAACTAGACTAGATAGGCTATGTTTCTGTGAACAGTAGTCTAATCAGAAGCTTTAGCTGAGTCCCTGTAAATCTTTTGGTCTGTTATACATTTTAAAAATCCCTCACTTTCTAGAAAAAGAAATACTTTTGTTGGATTTGCTCCAGCTGAGAGAATGGGGTATAATTTTCTTCAGGTAGGTAATAGAAAATGTCGCTTATTGGCTGGTAGAGAAACAAGTAATGTCAATTTTCCTAGAGTTTTGTCCAATTTCTTGGTGTAAAGGATTGGAAATATAACCTATGAGGATTTCTTCTCTACCTCTTCCTAAGCAGCTTGTGGAGATTTAATTCTGAAAAAAACTTTATACCTCTGGAGAACAATTTTTTTGTTTGCTCTTGACTTTATCTAGTGGGTTTCCAGCTGCTGATTTAGAACTGCAGTCTTTTCTCAGTTTTGAAGAGACAAATCAAGTCACCTGAAATCATTCTCTGGCTTTTCCTTAGACTATTCTCCAAGGTTTTTCTATAACCTTTTTCCATGAACAAGCTTGTAGTGCATGAACACTTTAGCAGTCATTCGTATTTTTGTCATGATTGATGGCAGACTCTTAGTTTTGCTGAGGAAATAAGTACTAACATATTTTCTAATATTCCAATACTACCAGTTTTTTTCCATTTCCTTGAGCATTATCTACCTGTAATTTCTCTAGCATATATTCTTTATGCCCTGCTTTACTGCCTTTTATCTTAAGAGCTTATTTTAGGGTGATATTTAATTCACACTATAGGTTAGCATTTGCAAGTTAAGAGCCACAGAATCTGTTCCCATTTCTGTGAAAAAACTTAATGTGACCTTGGACAACTAATGTTTTCCCACTCTATTTTTAAAAGAGCTATTGTTAGATTTGTCTTGCAAGGGAGCTGTAATCAGTGGTCGTGATGTCCTTTACAATAAAAGGCTCTCTGCTGGAAAATTGTGGCATTGTTTTTCCCTTTATCTTTCTTTTATGCTTTCTCCACCCATTTTTTTATTTTTATTCTTAAATTCACTTTTCTCTTTTCATTCCAGATGTATTAGAACTATATCAAAAAGCCTCTGCATAATTTAAAATCTCTTGCAAAGCATTTAATTTGCTTTCCTGATTATATACATTGTAAGATTTGCCAAAAATGTGCTTTCTTTGCATTATAAAATTAGATTAATGCATTTACCCAATAGTTAGTAATTTAGAATTTATATCTGTATCATATTTTTCCCTTTGTTTTTCATGCTAGTCCATATACAGAGGATCTCCGGTTTGTACAGTGTTCTTATCTAATTTTTATTTTTCTTTCTTCTTGAAATTAAATATTTTTTCTACAAATAATAGCATGCAATGGTCTTAAAAATCTTTCATCAGCTATAGCTATACTTGTTTAATTAAGTGAAATTTCACCATTCAATGTTTGGCTTTTCTAATTAAGAAAGTTGTTTGATTACAGAAATGCATTTAAAATATAAAATCTATTTCAAATGCATTTCATAAGTGTTATTCTTTGTATGTGGCAATAACACATTTTCTTTTCTATATAGATTAAGCTGGTCAACATAAACTCAACTGATATTGCTGATGGAAGGCCTTCTATTGTACTTGGCTTGGTGTGGACCATAATTTTATATTTTCAGGTACTGCATGTTTTATACTTCAGTGTAGCTTGCTCAAATAATGGTTCAGATCATCATTTCATACAAACTGGCATAGTTCCAGTCTTTCACTGTAGCTAAGTCACTTTGTAAAATAGCTGAGTATCTGATCCTGAATAAAGCAACAATTCACGGGGGGGTTGCTTCATACTGAGTAAAATTAGTTACTTATCTTTGGAGTAGATTGGTCTTTGCCTAGAATGAAGTTCCTTCATCACTGGAACATATTCTTCTGCTTTCTGTAAAGAACACAGAAGAGCAAAAGAGAAGAACAGAATTGTGGATTCTTGTTACAAGTATCTTTAGCAATCTCAGTGGGGATTGTCCTGTATGTCTAATTCCAGTGCACTTGATGTCAGACAGTAATTATTAAACCATGCATGTAAATATGGTGATGTTTACTGGGAGATGCAGATAGTCACAAGGCTGAAATTTAGCTGTGAATGATGTAGATTGAGAGAGGATTGAATTTGTAGAGTAAAAATCATTTGCATTCTGTTGAAGTTAGGTGGGAGGGAAAATTGGTTTCCTAAATCCTGTCCATATGAGTCAAAGTGAGTCACTGCTCAACACTTTACAAATCCAACTAATTTTGTTGCTCTTCTTTATGGAGTTCTTTGGCTTTGTCTCTCTTGTGGTGTCATGTCTCAGGGATGCTATTCCCCTTAGCATCAGCCGCTATGATACCTCAGTAGTTCAGATCTTCGCCAGAATGATATTGACATCTTAATTTATAGCTCATTGAGATGAACAGAGAAAATTATGCTTCTCAGATTTTCTGAAACTCTAGTTCTCTACATCAGTTCTACTTAGACCTTTTTTTTTTGTTTTTTTCTTTGGTTGTCACAGGCAGATACATCATTTTAACCTGAATGAAAGCAGAAATGCATGAGAGCTGTGGTTCTCATTGTGGCAGACTCATTTCGTGATGTAAAAAACTTTGGATTTTTAATTAGACAGCATAGAAAATCTTGCAACATCCTCTGGGTATAGTTTTGTCATGTTAAAGAACCAAATTGTTAGTCAATTTAATGTTCCTAAAGGAGTCAAGTTAATGTTTTTCATATGATGAAAGGGATGCAAATAACAGCCCTACACCCTTGACAAGCACTAGTAATGCACTTGGCCTCAGCACATTCACTATTTCTTCTCAAGGTACCTCTAAGCAAAACCACCATTGAATTTATGCCAGAATAGTAGAATAGTAAGTAAAGAACTATCCAGATAAGATAATTAAGATCACATGTAATTGAATGAGTCTCCTCTGAAATTGCTTTATTTTGGATTGTTTTATAATTTGAATTCAAGTTAAATGTAAGCCATTGTCTCCTGTTTTGATGGTAATTTGTCATAATGGATAACATGCCACATTTGCATATTGTTGTAGCTGTAGGGTGTCAAGAAGGTCAGTGATTGCTAGATGCCTTGTGCTTCTAAATATAAAACCATCACCTGGGCACATACATTAGCATTTTGAAGCTCTTTTAATGTACAGTTAAATAAACCACAACATGTTAATCATAGCTTCTGCCTGAATTTATTTTGACAGCTGTATTAGGAAGTTATTAAAGAAACTAGTATGAATTAAGAAGATTATCT